TCACCAAAGAAATCTTCTATACAGAACAAAAAAAATAGTCTAGAAAAAGTCTCGGAAAGTTTTGCTACCGGCACTTTTATATCGAGACTATTCGAGACCGAAACTTTCGAGACTCGAGACTAATCGAGACTCGAGACTATTCGAGACCGAAACTTTCGAGACTCGGGACTACTCGAGACTAAAGTTTCGGGTATCGAGTACCCCGTCTCGGTGCATCTCTATGTTCGAATTTTAATGCATTAACCTTCTCGATAATATACATCAATACCTAAATATTTATCATCTCCTATTCGAGATGATCTAAAAGCTTTTTAAAAATTCGAATTTGAATTTTTAAAATTTAATTAAAGGTTTTAATTATTAGATAACTGAAATACCTTTTATCGATAGAGATGATGGTGCGCTGCCTATGGATGTTGTTGACGATTGCTGATTGTTTAATGACATTTGTTGAAGAGAACTAGTGAAAACAATCATATCATTTGATGATGCCATTGGAACATGTTGCATAGTCGTTGGTTGCTGCTCTTGCGTAACATTAAATGGTGGCTGTAAGAAATTAACTGGCGGTTCAATTTGTCTCAGTTGAATAATATGAAGATCATTCGTTGAATTTGGACTTAAATAGTCAACAACTTGAAAATATGTACCAGGCAGAAGAAGAATTTCGTCTTCTTGTTTAAAATATGAATAATCAACTATGGAACGTCCATTTATACATTCAATAGCAAACAACGTGCGAACACCGTTTTTACCCAAATATAAATCACTATCCAAAACTTTCATTGCTGTTGTACATGATGTAAATGACCACCACACATATTCTTCACCTAAAACGAACCACAACGATTTATTTTTCAAAGAACGACAGGTCTATCAAAAACTTCACCTATTTTATATTTTTTACTTAAATCTAATTTAACACCGCGCCATAATATTTTATTTGTACTTAATGGTAATTTAAAAAGTGCCGTTAATAAGAGTTTAAGATATGCGAACCATGGCTTCAATTGTTCTCGATCACGTTCACGTAATTTTGAATTTAAAAGTGGATAGACTAATGTCTCCATTGTATATAAATGTATAGCTGCAGCTTCATCTTGCGACAATTGTGTTTGTGTCATTTTTTTTTGCGTTTTGTTTAGCTATCCACGCAAGTGTTTTCATAGTAGATACAGTTGGTAATAAAGGTTTAACTGCATCTTCTATGGACATTAGTGGTACATTTTGATAACCATCAATGGGTGTTAATAATATATCTGGTTCTTCTAAAATATCATTAGCCACTAAACGAGGATTAAATTCCGTTGCTGAATGAGCCATGTGAAACCAAAGATTTCTGTTGTACAAGATGTACAACGAAATAAAGGAAGCAATAAATTGTTATTGTTATGTTCGTTTTTGTTAAAGTATCAGTATGTTAATGACTGAAGGTTAAAAAAGAATAGGCGATTGTAAAGATTTGTGTACGCCAGAAATATGATAAAAAAATGCTCGTGTATGTGTATCGGGGGTGGTGGTGCTGGTGGTTGGCTGTGAGTGTGCGAAAAACAAAGGAAGAAAGACGAGCTGCTCAGTACGCGTTTCGGTCTTCTTCGAGGACTTCGTCAGCTGGGCCAAGAACCACTCTGTTAGTAAATACGATGATGGTTAGCACACTACATGGTTTGTGTGTGTTGCTCACCATGGTACACCACCATAGTTTCTTATCTTCATTCTCAAAAACGCAAGTGTGTAATAAGACCAGAAAGACATATCTCTTTCTTATTCATGCTTCCGCTGCAAAATGAAGAAGAAGAACTTGTCGATCATTGCATAATACTTGAATAACCCGAATGACCTATTCAAGGACTATGTAATCAAAGAAAGAATTTCTTTTCGAAAGATACATGATAAAATTCTCTCGTGTTTTTCATATTGAAAAGACGACACTATCCAAAAGAAGACACAAGTACAGTTTATGTATGCAGGTGCTATATAACACGTTTTTCGAGTTTTTATAAGTAAGTCTCTTACGGAACCAAAAAAAAACTTACTTATGGAAAACCGCGTTTAATTCTTCACCATTTGACTTTCCGCTCTCATCAAAGTGATTTTTCGATTCCTCATATGAAAATGAGTCTAGAAATGTTGTTTAGAGCCGTATCGCATATAACGTATCCATTCTAGAAATTCATGAAAATCTAAGATCATATGCGCGATCAGCATGTAATACTGATTCTAGAAATGTATATTATAACAAAAAGAAACTTTTAATTACTGGCACCTTACCTTGGATGAACTCTTTTTAATTACTGTTTACACGTTTACAATCGTATATTTTGAATAGTTAAATTTGGATAGATGTGAAGCAAAATCAATCGTTTCTCACTGTACTGAAAAATACCAGGCGACTTATACCTGTAAAACATCCAAAACAGAAAGAAAGAGAAAAGAAAAAAGCGTAAACTATCGTTTTTATAAATTTAAAGCAAACATTATAAGTTTTCCGCAATAAGAGCAATAAAAAAGTGATACACTTGACTACGAATACACAAGTTTTTTCTGCTTGAGAATATCACAACAATGTTGTTCAGGCACATAAAATTTATAAAAAAAATGGTTTACGCTTTTTTCTTTTCGTTTTCTTCCTTTGTCGAATATTTTACAGATATAAGTCGCCTGCTTCTCAGGTTTTGGTATTTACTTTTTCAGTACAGTGAGAAACGATTAATTTTGCTTCCAAATTTTTTAAATATTTTATCCAAATTTATCCATCCACATATATATAGAGAGAGATAGAAAACTCCAGTTTTTAAAACCGTTTGAAGTACACAAGTTGTACTGTATGCCGAGCTGTTCTTTGGAAAAGCATAAGATAAAAGGACACCGCCGGATCAGTAGCTATATCTGCCACCCTACGTTTTCATATTCTGAAGACATGGTCAGATAGAACTCACTCTGGCGAACATGAATATGATGTCAGAAACGTTCAGAACCACTTAGGAAAGAAAATACGAAGC